AGCTGGACTTCAGACAATGATGTCATTACTGACATTAGACAGGTCTTATCTGAGAGCAGTGAAACCCCAAAATACACTTACTGTTTTTATTGTGTTTAATTTATAGACTATGAAAGGCTTTTGACCGTGTGGGTCATAACAAAGAATTCAGAACATTGTGAAGAATGTGGATTCCAGAACATTCATTTGTGCTCACAAGGAACCAAAAAGCAGTCATTAGAACAGATCCAGGGAATACTGTTGTTGTTGTTATGTGCTATCCTGCATGGTTTAAAATCAGGAAAGGTGTGCTTTAAGGTTGTATCCTTTCACCATAATTATTCAATCTGTATGATAAGCACAACTTAAATTATTCCAGGACAAAAATCCTCACTGAAACTGGACCAATATGCAAAATCATGAAAAATGGAGATAAGATTGAAGTCATCAAAATTTCATTTTACTTAGACACAAAATCAAAATTCATGAAAGAATTAGTCAAGTAATCAAAGTGTGTATTCATTGGACAAATCTGCTGCAAAAGACTTCTTTAAAGTATTGAGAAGCAAAGATATCACTCTAAGGACTAAGGTGACCCAACCCATGGTAACTTTGCCTCACACACATATGAAAGCTGTAGAATGATCAGAGAAAATTTGATGCATTTGAATTATGATGTTGGTAAAGAATATTGAAATTACCATGGACTGCCAGGGAGCAATCTGTCTTGGAAGAAGTACAGCTAGAATGCTCCTTAGAAGCAAGAATAATGAGACTGTATTTCACAAACAAAATTTTGGTTATGTTATCAGGAGGGACCAATCCCTGTAGAAGGATATCAATCTTGGTAAAGTAGAGGGTGAGTGGAAAAGAAGAAGATCTTCTACAAGATGGATTGATACAGTGGCTGCTACAATGGGCTCAAACATAACAATTATGAGGATGGTGAAGGACTGGGCAGTGTTTTGTTCTGTTGTACATAGTGTTGCTATGCATCAGAACTGACTTGAAGGCACCTGACAACCACAACAACAACATTTATCTACAGTAAAATAGATAATAAATTATGGTATAATTCACACAATAGAATAACATACATTCATGTAAAACAAAGGAAAATACTACCTATCGTAATATGAATTCATTCCAAAGATAAATGTTGTGTTAAAGAAGCCCAACTTGGGAGGTGGGGCAAGATGGCAGAGTAAGTAACCACTCCCATTTAAACTACAGCAGCTCACTCACTGCTCAACCTAGAAAAACAAGCACAGGTTGATATCTCTAAACTCTGGGTGGCAACTAAAGGTTAGTCCATCTGTAGGGGTGAGAAGGAACAGGGGAATCACTGAAACAGAGATCCTAGCCACTGGCGCCTGGAGGATTCCAGTAATTGAGACCATTTTGTTAATGGGCCAGACAACACCTAGAACAAAGAATACAGGATGGGTGCTAAACTGAGAAAGCTGCAGCCCCATCATTAAGGTGGCATAGATTGGTTGTGGGAGTTCATAGGTTGTGCACTTGGGGAGGGGTGAAGGTAAACTAAATACTGCAAGTGAATATTACTGACTCTTGCAGAGATACAAGGCAGTTGGACTCTAGGACCTAAATATACAGAAAATAAACCTAAAAATACAGAAAATCCTCATGTCATAGCCTTCAGTAAGGGCAAGAAAAGTATTTCAGATAGGCAACACATAGGGAAATAATGGATTCCCCGCCCACAGTGGGGTACTATGGGAAAGCTTGTACAGGGGTGCCCATGGAGGAAGGACATAAAAAGCTCCCCACATTGCCTTGTGAAAGTCTAGCCCTATCACTTACATCTGCATCTGTGGCCAGTGAAAAACTCCTGCACATGTGCATTGAGCTGCAGAGTATGAGCCATCTCATACTCTAAGAGCACACTCAGGACCACAGCCAAAGCCTCCATAGATGAATCAGCAAAGGCAGCCACCTTAGGAAGAACCAGAGATGTAAGTACCCTGATAAAACCTCAATTAGTGAAATTGACCACATACATAAAACAAAGGGAAATAACCATTACGATCATATCAATTAATGTAGAAAAGACACATGATAAAATTCAACACTCTTTCCTAATAACCTTCAGCAAAATAGGAACAGAAGGCAAGTTACTCAACAAAATTAAGAACACATATAGAAAAGCAACAGCCTACAAGATATTCAATAGAAGAAGATGGAGAGCCTTCCCTTTGAGAACAGGAATGGGACCAGGATGCCTGTTATCAGTACTCTTCATCAATTCGTGTACTGGAGTCAGAGAAATAGGTAATAAAGAAAAATGAAAGGAATGCACACTGGAAAGGAATGAGTAAAACCATCTCTATTTGCTGATAACATAATCCTGTACATAACCAAACCCACTGCCAACAAGTTCATTCTGACTCGCAGTGATGATACAGGAAAGAGTAGAAAGAACTCTCCTTAGGGTTGCTGAGATGATAAATGTTTACAGGAGCAGACTGCCTCATATTTTCTTTCATGGAGCTGCTGGTGGGTTTGAGCCACCAAACTCTTTGTTGGCAGCCCAATGCTTAGTTCATTGTGCTGCCAGGATCCTTTATCCTGTATATTGTTGTTGTGTGTCGTTGAGTAAGTTTCTGAGAGTGCCTATTGGGGTTGAATTGCCTGTCTATTATCAGTTCACTGTTTATCCTACAGCACCACACCAAGGTTCACCCTGTATATGTTGTTGATGTTAAGTGCCGTTGAGTTGGTTCTGACCCATAGCGACCCTGTATAGGGTTTCCAAGGAGCAGCTGGTGAGCTTGAAATGCCTACCTTGCAGTTCAAATGACTACAGTATGATACATTAACCCACAGCGCCACATCAGGACTCGACCCTGTATATCTATCTGTATATGTTGTTGTTGTTATTAAGTGCTGTCGAGCCAGTTCCAACCCATGGCGACCCTGTATAGGGTTTCTGAGACTGTAAATCTTTACGGGAGCAGAAAGCCTCATCTTTTTCCCGTGGAACCCCTGGTAGTATTGAACTGCTGACCTTGAGGTTAGCAGCCCAACTCGTAACCATTATGCTACCAGAGTAGAATTCCCTAATATTCCACAAGAAAACAAAGGGAATTTATATAAGAATTCAGCAATATTGAAGAGTATAAGATCAACACACAAAACTCAGTGGGTATCCTTTACACTAAGAAGGAGTATTAAAAAAAAAAAATCACAAATACTATTTATAGTAGCTCCCCAAGTGATAAAATACCTAGGAATTAACTTATTTAGGTACATAAAAACATGTGTGCCATGAAAATTATAAAACATTATTACAAGAGACTAAAAGACATATAAATGGAAGGGCATTTGGTACTTATTGGATTGTTGTTGTTAGTGCCAGAGAGACCCTATAAGCCGGAACAGAACAGAACACTGCCTGATCTTGCTCTATCCTTAGAATTTTTGTGATGTTTGACTCCATTGTGGCAGCCACTGTGTCAATCCATCTCCTTGGGGGTCATTCTCCTTTTAACTGACCCTCCACTTTGCCAAGTATGACGTCTTTCTCCAGGGTGCCTCCTAACAACATGTCCAAAGCATAAGAGATGAAGTCTTGCCATCACTTCTAAAGAATTCTGGCTGTACTTCTCAATACAGACTTGTTTTACTGCAGTCCAAGGTACTTTTAATAGTGTTCTCCAACACCGTAATTGAAATGCATTGATTTTGCTCTCATCTTCCTTAGTCACTGTCCAATTTGGACATGCAATGAAGCTACTGAAAATATCAGGCTAGGATCATGTCACTTTAGTCCTCGAAATGACATTGTTGCTCTTGAACATTTTCAAGAGGTCTTGTGCAGATTTGCCTAATGCAATATGTCATTTGATTTCTTGACTGCTGCTTCATGAGCATTGATTGTGGACACTTAACAACAACAATCTTCACTTCCTTTTGGGAACTCTCCCTAACTATTGTTTTCTTGTCAAACTCTCCCCTCACAGCATTCCTCCCCATACCATGCAGATTCTTGCCTTGTTCTCTTCCACTTTGTCTTTCCTTGGTCCAGAGGGAATTTGAAAGCTATCTGGATCACAGCCACCTAATTTAGCTCCCCAGTGTCTTAAGGGTCTTCCTATACACCCTGACAACTTGTGCCACCAAGGCTATCCTAGGTCAAGGTAGGTGATTGCTCTTAATGACCCTGATGCAGAACATAGGACACAAGCCTCCGTTGGTAGTCAATCCTGACAGAGGACAGCAACATTTATTAATTGCGCAAGGAAGTGTGAGGTTAGATACCCAGCTTGGAAAAAAACACACACACACACAAAAAAACAGGCATCAATGCTTAACTTTCAAACTAGACGCCTCCTTATTTTTAATTTAAAACCGGCTTCTCACTCTAGCGAAAGTTCCCCATGTCCAGCGGTAGGATTCTAAAGCCAAGATCAGCACCCTTGGACTTCTACTAAGCCTGTTGTTGTTGACTCAAAGTTCTAACCCATCATGCAAAAAACGGTCTTTAAATTTAAGCTTTCTTCTCCCAGCTCCACCTTAAGTGCTTTCGTTTATGATCAGAACAGCCTGTTGAGCTCCAGAGGCTGTTTTCCGGTCTTTCACTTTCAACTTGAACCAAACACAAAGGCCCAAGTGCATTACGTAGCGTGCCTTTCACAAAACACTCCCACCGTGCTTTTCTTTCAATCTCTCTGGTTCAGAACCTGTTCCGAGGGACCCTGCAGCCCCGAAACAGCAAATCTCAAGTCGCTCAAGACAGACGGCCTGCGCCCACCCAGGTCCCAAGAACTGTGAGCGGGCCTAGCGCCCAGTCATCTCGCCTCCAGGACGCCGGCACCCTAGGGACCGCGCGCACCCGCCTCCTCAGTGCGGGCAGTGAGTCCCCGATCGGCACGTGAATCCAGGGGGCCGGGCCCTGCCTCGCACCGGGCCCCGCCCCTGAGTCTCTGCAGTCCCTGCCCGCCGCTACTGTGGCACCCTCCACTGTGGCAGCATCCCCAGACGGAGTGGGCCGCGGAGAGATGATGGAGCCCTGGCTGGTTTATGACGGGCAGAAACTGCTGTTATGGGGCGCCGCAAACGCAGTGTTCTTGGCGGTCGTCACCCTGCTTTTGACTCATTTGGCAAACTATGCGCGGAAATGGAAGCAGATGAGGGGCATCCCGACAGTTGCTGGCGCCTTCCCGCTGTTGGGCCACGCACTGCTGATGAAGACTGACGGTAAAGGTATGGACTCCCGCCCACGCGACTGCCTTTGTCCCCACCAAAGTCTCCCCTCCCCCGAAGTAGGCGACCTTCTGGACTTTTGCAGGCCTACAGGGCCCGCACAACCCCGCTCACCTCTCATTCCTCATCCTAGTCACTGGAGTCCCATAGCAGCATTGACTGCTAGGGAAGAGTCTGTTACTTGTCAACTTTGCAAGTGCTACCCTCCAGTCCCATCCTTGCTATGTGCTACAAACCACTTGTCCTGCTTTTTCTCTTTTGAAGAGAAAACGCAGAAGGAGAAGCGGTTGGCAACACCTAGCATTCTGTTATACTTAAAGAAAAAGTTCACTAAGGGATGGGATACCAGAGTAGCTGTCCTGGTGTGGTGTGGCAGGATGAGCACTGGACTGGTTCAAACCCACCAGCCACTTCTTGAAAACCCTATACAAGATCCCTATGCTTGGGAAATGACTCATAGAACTTAACAACAGCAGTTTAAAAACAAAAAGGCTAAAAATAAATCTTCACAAGAGGAACTTCCCCCGGAATTAAGCAAACTGTCTTAATACTTAGTACTACCTCTCCTCCTTGCTTCTTCTTGGGAAAATAAGAGATTCGTTTGAGGCTTTCCCTCCACCCCTCAGGAGATCACAAGACTTGATCACTTGATTTCTTCTTGACCGTCATATTTTAGCCCTCTTAAGGAGATTGTGTAATAAAATGAATAAACTATGATGGCAGGACCTTTTGCATAATTATATGCCAAGTTTCTAAAGTCTTGTTTATTGAAGCGTGAACTGTTTCTAATAGAAATTATCTTAAAAACTTCGTCTCTCATACTTTGGACATATTGTCAGAGGGACTACTGGCTAGAGAAGGATATCATGTTTGGTAAGGTGGAGGGTCAGAGAAAAACAGGAAGACCCCCAACGAGATGGATTGGCAAACTGGCAGCATCGATGGACTCAAGTGTGGCAACAATTGTGAGGTTGGCCCAGGACTGGGCAGTGTTTCATTCTGTTGTGTATAGGGTTGTTATGAGTCAGTACCGACTTGATGGCGCCTAACAACAACACTGGGATTGTCTTCATAGCTTTGCCATGCTAAACTCCCAGAGGAAGGTCTAATGGATGTTAATATAAATACAGTGAATACCTGAGTCTTCCACACTAGTATGGGTGTTGTAGTTGGCAGTGATAGTCACCATTTCTCCACACTCTACACTAGGACTTGCTATAAAGCAGGAATAGTGCTCCTAACCTGTCTGTATTGAATTCTCAACCTTTTCCCACACCCTCCTCCTGTAGTCCGGGCATGCCTTCAAAAAGTTTGTGTAAACATTTCATTATCTTCTAATTCTATCTTTACACTGATTTTTTGAAGCCCTCTCACATACATGGTCTTAGACATACTAGTGTTACTGTACTAAAATGCAACTCCAGTCGTGCTCAAATAGAACATTTGAGTTATTCTCTAGAGACTATAAAAGAAACCCTCCAGTTTTCCAGCTTCATCTCCTACTGTTATCATCCCTACAACTATGTGGCTTTGGCCACTTCATACTTAGAGTGAAATCTTAGGCCTTCATGATTCTTCTCAGCTGTTTCTACATCAAGATTAGCATTCTCTCCCCAAGCCCAATGCTCTTATGCTGCATCTCAAAATCCAAATGTCATCTTCTTTGTGAAATTACTCCTCTCAGTCAGAATCACTAACTCCCCAGGCATAATAAATGTGTGTTTTATCACCCCTGACATTCTGTTAAGTATCGTGATGAGTTACAGATGTGACTGTCCTTGAAAGTTTAAATTCCTTGAGGATACGCATCAGATCCGTTAGAGGTTATTGGAATTAGATCCGTTAGAGGTTATTGCCAAGGTTATTGGAATGCATTTGTGATCTCACATACGTCTAGCACGTCCATTCCTTATTCCAGGACATATTAACAGAAAACTGACTTGATTAAGTTTAAAATATCACTATCTAAGCCATACATTGCCCTCAATGTTACAGCATAACCATTTTGGTTTGATAGTTGTTATATTCGCTTCCACATTTTTGTCACATTTCCAAAACCCCAATTTCAGTTCTAGAAGTCTTAAATTATGAATTGTTTCTTCTATATTAAAGAAAAGGCAGAGATCAACCAAGGGCTTATTTATTTGTGTATGTGTTCCTCTGCAACTTAACTTTAAAAAAAAAAAAATCTTACTGTATTCTTCCTACCCTCAAGTATCAGAAAAATCCCTGCTTTTTGTAAAAACATAATAGCTTATTTAAAAATAATTCTAGACTTAGAAAATAGTTGGGAAAGTAGTAAAGAGAGCTCATAAATGTTTTTCTAATAGATTCTTCTAATGTCAACATATTATATAACTAAAGTACAGTTGTCAAACTAGTAAGTTCATATTAGTACTCTGTTGTTAACTACGCTCTTTATTTGAATTTCACGAATGCCTTGATGAATGTCCTTTTCCCATTCAGAACTCATTCAAGATTCTACATTATATTTACTTGTGTTTCCTCAGTCCTTAGCCTCTCCTGGTCTGTCATAACTTTGGCACTTTTCCTATCATTTGTTGTTAGTTGCTATCAAGTGGGTAATTTCATGGTAATCTTGTGTATGCTGTTGTTGCTAGTGCTGTAAAATTGGTTCCTACTTAGAGCAACCCTATGTAGGGTTTCCAAGGAGTGCTGGTGGGTTTGAACCGCTGTCCTTATGGTTAGCAGTCCAGTGCTTACCCTTTAGTACCACACCAGAACAACAATGTGTAACAGAATGAAATGTAGCCTGGTTTTGTGCTCTTTGCAATTGCTGGTATGTTTGAGTCCTTTGGCTATTGTGTTAATTAATCTACCTGACAGCACTTAACAACAACAACCTCATTTTTGCTGACTCTTTACTTTACCAAACATGATTGGCCTTTCCTGATGACGTGTCCAAAATAAGTGAACTGAAGACTCGTCATTCTAGCTTGAAGGAGTATTCGAGTTATATTTCTTTGCAGACCGTACAGCCATTTTGTTGAATAGGCCTCAATTTGGATTTGGTGAATGTTTTCTCCTAATTAGATTGACGGCATACAATTTTAGCAAGATTACTACAGAAATGATGTTGTGACAGTTACAGTGCATCATATCAGACGGTTCATGATAATAATTGTTGTTGTTGCTATGTTCCATCAAGCCAGTTCCAACCAATAGTGGCCCTGTGTAGATTTTCCAAGGACAGGTTTGTGAGCTTCAACTGCCGACCTGGCAGTTCAAACTGACTTTGCAGTCCAGCGCATTTACCCACAATGTCATACCAATTTTTGGTTACAACCTTGTCTGCCAGGTTTTTTTGTTTTTGTTTCTTTACTCTAAATTTTTTTTTTTTCTTTTGTAATATATACATTTAAGTGAGCTCTGGTGGCATGGTGGTTATGAATCGGGCTGCTAATCTCAAGGTCGGTAGTTCAAAACTACCAGCTGTTCCATGGGGAAAAGATGAGGCTTTCTGCTCCTGTAAGGATTTGCAGGCTCAGAAACCCTGTGCAGGGTCACTATGAGTCAGAACTGACTCCACGGTACTTAATAACAACAACAAATATATACATTGAAATGGAAGACTTTTACCAACTTCTGCAGTATGAGACTGATTAAACATGCAATTAAGATGCACAGAATAGTGATTGGAATGTAAAAGTTCGAAACAAAGGAGAAGGAAAATAAGTTCTTGGTGAGGGAAACCACACCAGAGATTGCATGGTAGAATTTTTTGAGACCAATGACTCAAATTTGTCTAAAAAAAATTCATTAGAAATACCTTTGTCCAACAATACAAACGGTGACTTTAAGAAGGTAAGTCAAAATGCATTGTTACAAGAGCTCCAATTCATACATGCACAGATTTATTCAGAATAAATGATGTCTCTGCAATTAGTGGATGGCTACAGGTAAGTTCTTTCAGTAGCACACTTGTCTGAGTCTTATCAATGTGCCTTCAAAAATAAAAGAAAAATTCCAATCAAGCATTGTCTTCTGAAAGGATCTGCTTGCTGGCCACTTAAATTTAAGGCAGACAGGGCTAGCGCCAAAGGTTATGTCACCTGTTTTCAGAGGGTGGATTCCAAAAGAGTAATCCTGTAGGATTTTCTTGATGGACATGGGACTTCCTTATTAGGAAGACATTTTAAGAAAATTGAAAACTGCATTGTTAAGAAAAAAAAACAGGAGAGTTACAATTTTCTCCCCCACACCCACCCCCCATCACAACAATGCACCTGCTAATTCCTCAAGTGTAGCAAGGGTTATCCTATGAGAATTTTGTTGTGAAGCCTTATCCCATCAGCATATAGTTCTGATCTTGCACCTTCAGACTTCTTTTTGTTCCCAGAATTCAAACAACATTTCAAAGGAACATCACTTGAAGAGTCCCTTGAGAATGCTAAAATTTCTGTTTTCACATGGTGTAAATTGAAGAGCAAAGAGTTCTTCAGGGACAGATTAGAGAAATGAAAATATTGCCTTCAGAAATGTATAGACTTTAATGGAGAACATGCTAAGAAACAATAGCTTCACATTTTTATATATTTGTTTAATAAAGGTTCTGTGATTTTGCAGTAATACTTTTTGACATACCCTCATACACATGAACTTCATAGGATTCAAATCATAGATATCAATTCTACCATATTCATGAAAAGAAACAATGGAGAAGCTCAGTATTTCAGTCAGAACAAGGCCAGGAACCAAATGTAGAATAGATGATCAGTTGCTCATATGAAAGCTCAAGTTGATGCTGAAGAAAATTAAAACAAGCCCACAATAGCCAAAGTCTTGCCTTTATTATACCCACAGTAATTTAGAAACCATCTCAAGAACAGATGTGATGCATTCAACACTAATGATTGAGAAAACCAAACAAGTTGTGGGATAACATCAAGGATATCATGCTTCAAGAAAGCAAAAGATCATTTAAAAGACAAGATAGAAAGAAAATACCAAAATGGATGCCAGAAGAGATTCTGAAACGTGCTCTTGAATGTAGAATCGTTAAAGTGAATGGGAGAAACCATAAGTAAAAACAACTGAATAGAAGATTTCAAAGGTAATATCAAGAAAACAAAGTAAAGTACTATAATGGAATGTGCAAAGACCTGGAGTTAGAAAACTAAAAGGAAAGAACACGCTCAACCAAAAGGGAAGAATGTGCTCAGTAGCTTTCAAGCTGAAAGAACCAAAGAAAAAATTCAAGCCTTGACTTGCAATACTGAAGAATTCTGTGAACTGGCAGAAGAATGAATGAATCTGTGTTGGAAGAAGTACAACCAGTATGTTCCTTAGAAGTAAGAATGGTGAGACTTCATTTTATGTTCTTTGGGCATGTCATCAGAAGATACTAATCCCTGGAGAAGGGCATCTTGCTTGGTAAAGGGTCAGCGATGAGGAGAATGACTCTCAATGTGATAGCTTGACACAGTGACTTCAACAATGAGCTCAAGCATAGCAACAATTGTGAGGATGACAGAGAGCTGGACAGTGTTTTGTTCTGCTGTACATACAGTCACTATGAGTCAGTATGCCTTGAAGGCATCTAAGGACAACTGACAATTGAAAGAGATTCTTTGAGATTAGCCTGTTTTCCTTGGCACTAAGAGCATCTCCTTGTATGGTGCTGTGGGTTAATGTACTGTATTGCGTAGTCTGTTTGAACTGCATAGTTGAAAGTTCAAGCTTACCAACTGCTCCTCGGAAACCCTATACAAGGTCAGTATGGGTCAGAGCTGACTCGACAGCAGCAACAACAGAAAGAGCATCTCCTAATTTTAGTATTCATTGGTGGAAATTTTCTGTAACAAATACTCTTGTCTGGTTTGTCTAATGATAATTTTCTGTTTCTTTCACTTTTTATGCAATTATTAATTGCAGTTCTTCTGTAAACAAGAATTGTCCCTATTTACTTACTTAGCTACTTACTTATTTATATTTGTATGCATTTATGAATACTAGTATAGACTCATTTATTTTAGTGTATTATAATCCAATATTATCATTATTTATTTTATTGCTTAATGTTTTCTAGCTTTGACCACTGGGAGCTCTTTCTGATTGGCTCTTTGTCCTTTCAATGTGGTCCTTTCTGTCTCTCTCTCTCTTTCCCCCCCTCTCTCTTTTTTTGAGCATTTCCTTATTTTCTGGCACCACAAAATAGTCCTCTTGACCATTCATGTTCCTACCCTGAAATCAAGAACTTTCCTGAGAATACCTGGCTCATTTTATTGGAGAACAGTATGTAAAAACCCAAGTATGGATGCTAGAACAACCACAAACAGCCAATTATCTGTTTGTAGCATAAGAGGAGTCTTTCCTGGGAAATCTTATTTAGACACTTAAAAAATAAGTATGTACACTTAGGCAAAAAGCAGGACAAGTAATTTCTCCATAGAGAGAACAAGTTTTGAAAAGGTTTTGCAACCTTTGAGAAATGGTAGCATAGATGTTGTTGTTGTTGTTGTTGTTAAGTGCTGTTGAGTCAGTTCCGACCGACTCATGGCTGATGAGATTGAATTGTTTGCCTTGCAGTTCAAACCAAACTTGCAGTCCAGTGCTTATCCTAAAGTGCCATACCAGGACTCTGTAAGATATGTAAGGCAGGACATTTTATACAGAGAAGTAAGTATAGAGTTTTGGTGTGGCGCTGCAGGTTACTGCTCTGGACTGTGAGGTCAGTTTGAACTGCAGGGTCGGCAGTTCAAGCTCACCATCCGCTCCTTGGAATCCCTATACAAGATTGTTATGAATCGAAACTGACGAATGGCACTTAACAATAATAACAACAAAGAGAAGTATATACTAAGGCTATAATGGGAGGACAATTTTTTCATTCTGTAAAAGGACAACATGAATCAATGCCCAGCGAAATTAAACAGTCCTAAGGGATCCTGAAATATATACTATGTCCCCTCACCACACATCCAGTATCTGGCATTTTTCAGTTACCCAGAATATTTCTTAGGCACTGTAGGGTAATGCAGTGGACCGCAAGGTCAGCTTGAATCAGCAGCTTCTCAGAAACCCTAGACTGGGTCACTATGAGTCACAACCAACTCGACAACACTTAACAACAATAATATTTCACTTAATACTCATAATTAAGTCATTAAATCATTTTGATGGGATTTGGTTTACCTTTAAGACATGAGAGATTTGTGAGAAATTTACCTAAAGTAATGGTCTATCCATCCTTCCTTCCTTTAAAGAAGTACAAAAAGGAACTTATTATAAAATTATCACCTTGATTGAATTTAAAATACTTTTTTTTCCTCCCAGAATTTTTTCAGCAGATCATACAGTACTCTGAAGAATACCGACATAAACCACTGCTGAAACTCTGGATTGGGCCGGTGCCATTGGTGGCCCTTTATAAGGCAGAAAATGTGGAGGTGGGTATATGGTAATTATGGCCAATATTTCACTGGATATTTGATGGTTTGAGAATCTCATCAGAATAAATATTAAGATGTATTCTTTGATCTGAGTTAAGTAAATAGAACATTCTATTAAGTATTTTATGTTCTATACGTTCCATGAGAGTCCTGGTATGGTGCTGTAGGATAAGCACTGGACTGCTAACTGCAAAGTCAGAGGTTCAAATCCTCCAGCTGCTCCTTGGAAACTCTATACATAGTGTCGCTAAGAGAAAAAAATTAACTTGTTGTACTTAACAACAGCAAAGGTTCCATGAAATGCTTTATTTAATATGTAATCTGAATTCCGAGGAGGAGAAGACCTTCAGATATCTGTGCATATTTAGTATCATGTTCCATTACATTTGCTTTCTTTTGAAAAGTCTGAAGAAGGATATAGATTTTAAAACCATAAATAAGTCATAAGTAGATTATCCTACAAGATACCTACTTTCTGTCTTCTAAGCATTGTTAAGACTCCAAATATATGATTATTAAGAAATGATTTGATACAATGTCTGCAACAATGGGCTCAGATATAGCAACAATTTTGTGAGGATGGCTGCTCTGAGTCAGAACTGACTTGATAGTACCTGGCAACAACAAGACATGTGTTTACCTCAAGGGTCTCATATCATACTCACTATAAAATAGATCACTAAGAATTCATTTTGGATAAAGAGAAATTCTAATCTGATATTGATGGGGCTTATTGCTGTTGTTAAGTGCTGTAGAGTCAGTTCTGATTTATAGCAATCCTGTATAGGGTTTCCTAGGAGCAGCTGTGAGCTTGAACTGCTGACCTTGCAGTCCAAGCCAACCTTGCAGCCCAGCGCATTAACACACAGCACCACACCAGGACTCCAGATATTGTTAAATCATGCTACTGAAATTAATTGACAAAAAGATTGCATATTTTAGAAAAAATTTAATATTATGGATTATATTAATAAACGAGTCCTGGTACGGCACTGTACTTTAAACACTCAACCAGTAGATCAGCTTGAATCACATGGTTGGCAGTTCAAAATCACCAGCTGCTCCTAAGAAACTCTATACAGGGTTAGTATTAGTAGGAACTTACTCAATGGCAATTAACAAGAACAACTCTTAATAATATTTTGTACATTTTTTTTCAACTTGGGCAAAATAATATGTTTCATTTTAAAAAGTTATAGCATATTTTACATAATGACTTGAAAAAGTTTTGGATGTATGATTTAGAATGTTAGATAAGAGATTTCTCATGTTCTCATCATCATTGTGCCCGGTTTCTCCTAGGAAGAAACAGTACTTATTTGAATTCTTGTGATCCTGAGGAAATTATCTTGTGTTATAGTCAGAAAGAAGTCCTGACCTGATGCTATAGGTCAGTGGTTCAAACCCATTAGCCGCTCCTCAGAAACCCTATACAGGGTGGCTATGAGTCAGAACTGACTTGTCTGCACTTAACAACAACAACAACATGGTCAGAAACAGATTTGTATTAGGACGTAAAAATCATGAGCAGAGATTCTCTTCTTAGAAAAAAATTAAAAGCAGAGTTTGCTTGCGAATAGTGTCGGGCATATTTTTCTTAGTAATTAGTGGTCAAAGTGCTGGAGTTTCTCAGAATTCCAGTCCCAAGAAGGTAGTAAACTAGTATAATTTGGTTTGGTACATGCGGATAGAGATCTGTCCAGAATAGGGAATTCAAGTCAAATGCCAGGGAGCATTCTATGGTCAGTGGCAGGTGCTCTCCTACTTACCTTGGGCTCCAGGTGGTCCCATCAACACCCATGGCTCCCATTGGTATCTATACGCTGCTGGTGCTGGTGATTACGTGCCATGGAGTTGGTTTCAACTCATAGCAACCCTGTATAGGGTTTCCAAGGCTAAAAATTGTTGTTGTTGTTGTTGCTATTGGCCATGGAGTTGGTTCCGACTCATAGCGAACCTTCATAGACTTTCCGAGGCTGTAAATCTTTACGGGAGCAGAAAGCCTCATCTACCTCCCGTGGAATAGCTGGTAGTTTCGAACTGCTGACCATAGGATTAGCAGCCCAATTCGTAACCACTATGCTACCAGAACGCCTTTACAGGAGCAGAAAGCCTCATCTTTCTCCTACGGAACCACTGGTAGTTTCGAACTGCTGACTGTGAGATTAGCAGCCTGACTTGTTACCATTGTGCTACCAGAGCTCCTATCTATATGCTGCTATTGTTGTTGTTGTTAAGTGCCATTGAGTCTGTTCCAACCCATAGCGACTCTACATAGGGTTTTTGAGGAGCAGCTTGTGAGCTTGATCTGCCAACCTTGCAGTTCAAATAGACTTTGCAGTCCAGTGCATTAACCCACAGCACCACACCAGGACTCCATCTATATGCCAGACACACTCAACAACTTTTCTTTAGCTCCTGCCGTTAATCTTGAGTTTCTTTCCTACTTTCAAGTAATGGCAACTAAAATTTCTCAAAAATCAACATCCCTGAAAAGGAATTCAAGATTTCCCCCCACCTAGATGTGATCATCCTTCAGATTCACTACCCAGTAACAGGCTGCTTCCTAGCTGGTTCCTAACTTATGCAGCAATCTGGGAATCATCTTGGACATGCTCAGTTCCCTCATTTTATCCCCAAGATTAATTTTCTTTTAGGTGCAGGGATAGAGCTGAATCACAAAGAAATAATGTCTTCAAATTCATTATGCAAATGTTTCCTTTAAAATAGTCATATTCTAGCCAGATATTTATATAACTGAGGTTGTTTTTGTGCTTCGGTGTCTGCATATATTTCAAATTGTAAACAAAAGAAATTTTTTTTCTGTTTCTAAGGTGATTTTAACTAGTTCCAAGCAAATTGACAAATCATCTCTGTACAAGTTTCTAGAACCATGGCTTGGCCAAGGACTTCTAACAAGGTATAGCAGCCTAAATTAATAAAGCTTTTTTTTTGGAAACCATTATATTAATGTATATTAATGTATGGCACAAAGTAGCTCTACTGTGGCAAGATTGTGCTAGCTAAAAGCAGGAGGGAAGTTGGAATGAGAGGTTGCGCTAACAATGGAGCTTTGAAAAGCAGGAGTCCAGCACACTGGGTAATCTTCAACCACCGGGTTCAAAATAATTAGTACCAGTGCCCAGATTTAGGAATTCCTGATGTAAATCTTGGAATAAATCAAAGAAGAGTTTGAAAAAGGATAATCTTGAAAATCCAAACAAAAAGATAGTTAACAAAAGAGAAATATGTTGATCACAGTAAATGCAATCCTTGAACTGGCATCCAGGAAGATGACTCTATCCTCTGAAAGAACATCTAACAAAAGTAAGGCCAGGGCTCCTTGTAGGAATTTGGTGAATTTCAAGTCACTAGAGATCAAGGTAGAATTCATAGAGCATATAGGACATGATCTATGTGATTAGAAACTTAGGTACTCAATGTAGTTGTTATGAATGTTCTTTTAAGTTTTAATAATATGCAACAGAGGCGGGGCTTGATGGCGGCTAAGGTGGAGGTGCAGTGAAGTTCGACATCAGCCATACAACAGAATATCAGGCAAAGCACATTCAGGGCAGAGCTCCAAAACACGGAACCACAGAGATAGGAATATTTTAAAAGTTTGAAGGCTAATAGCTAGTGGAACTTGAGCCTGAAGTAATAAATCACATAGTTTTGAATCTGCCGGGCTCAGAGGCCCAGAGACGACATCTTGGATGAGACCAAACGGCAAGACAAGCGGGGGAGCATACACACCATGGAAAAATGCTGTGGGAACCTTGGAACAAAGGTAGACAATACACTTTGTCAGTTTTGATTTTCTTTTTTGGTATCTGGTCATTGGCCCCCCTCCCCACTATTTGTGCACCTCCATTCTGGTGACTAGAAGGGGAGACTGAGCAAGTGGATACCCCCCATCCTCACCACTGGTGAATTCTTCTGCCATGCGTGTGCAAAGATACTCAGCCCAAGAGTAGGCCCCGAACGTTTGTTTTTTTGTTTTTGTTTTTTTTTAATACAGCAAAGGCCAGGACAGGTCTGTAGAGAGGGAAAGAGAGTTTAAAAACAAAACAGGCCGAAAATTAAATTAAAGCCTGAAGTATAGCAAAACAAGAAACAGTGGCATCTAGAAATCTCTCAGGCAGCTTTGAAAGCAAGATGGTGAAGAGACGACATTAAAGTCATACTCATATTAAGCTAAAGATTTTTTTTTTTTCTTCTTCGTCTCTCCCTCCTCTCCCTTTTCTATGATTATAGAGTCAGTATTCAGTCAAAAAATTTTTTTCTTATTTTTTTTTTGCTGGTGCTGTTTTGCTGTTTTATGCTCCCCCTTCTACTTTTGGGAGACCCTTTCTTCCTCTATATTACCCAAGAAGAGTCAGCAACTGCTGCCATATAGTCAAGCTACAATCATACTCTATAAAACACCAAAAGCCAGGCAAGGACCAATACCAACTGCCATACACCAGGGAGGCAGATAACACCTGTAAAAGTTACTCTGAGTTAAGCAATATGAAGAGTGAAAAGGGAAGCCCACCTCCTTATCACATCTACCTGGAAGCAATCAGAAAGCATAAAAAATACCAAAACACATACTCAATTAAGTATTAAGGCCACAGATAAACACTAAACATGTCCAAGAAACAAAAGCAGATGACCATATGAGCACATGTCCAGAAACAAGATAAAATGTAGGAGACAAAAGACCTAGAAGGAGGGCAGGCCTTGGAAATGCCTGAGAAGGAATTCAGAAATATGATTATAAAATGTTTCAAAACACATTACAATGGACTTGAGAAAAATAAAATAAAAGTCAGGAGAGTGTTACAGGAACAATCAAATAAGATAGATATAGATACAGCATTGGAAACAATTCAAAACCTACAGAAAGATGTCCAAATGATCAATAATAGAATATCAGAAATAGACAATATGCTGAAAGGACAAAGGAGTAGAATAGAAGAGATGGAAGGTAGAACCCGTGAGCTGGAAGACAAATCTCAATACCACTAAGATAGAAGAACAAACTGAAAAAGGGATTAAAAAAATCTGAAAGTCTAAGATTCATGTTGGACAACTTGAAGAGGAATACCTTAAGAATTACCGGCATTCCAGAACAAGAAGAATCAAACAAGTCCACAGAGGCAATAGTTGAAGAACTGCTGGAAGAAATTTCTCTAACATCCTGAAAACTGAAAAGATAAACATTCAAGAAGCTCAACGAACCCCAGGAAAGATAGACCCCAAAAGAAAATCACCGAGACATATCATAATCAAGTTCTCCAAAATCAAAGATAAGGAGACACTCCTGAAAGCAGATAGGGAAAACAGAAGTGTTACATACAAAGGCAAACAAGTCAGATTTAGATTGGATCTCTCAGCAGAAACCACTCAAGCAAGAAGGCAATGGGGAGACATATATAAAAGCCTGAAAGAAAAAACTGCCAACCAAGAATCCTTTATCCAGCAAAGCTATCAATCAAATACAATGGTGTAATCAAGACATTCCAGGATAACCAGAAGCTAAGGGATTTTGCCAAAGCCAACCCTGCACTACAGAACAACCTAAAGGGGGTTCTGTGGACTGAGAACCAACAAGAAGAGACAACAACCAGAGATTGACATACATGGCAGCACCTCCCAGAATTAAATCTAGAGAAGGAAGAGTCAAGAACAGGACAAAACTATAAGAAGAAACGCAGAGAATCTGGGAGGTCAGTCTATGATCAAAGCCATTACAATGTAAAAGAAGGTAAACACGTAGAAACAGAGACCCAGATGTTGAGAAGGTCAGGTAGATTTCAGGATAAAATAGACTGCACAAAATGGAGAGAAACGTTAATGGACTATAAGGCAACCTCAAAGAAAATTAACACTTCACAACATACCAAGAGAATGAAAATCCAAGAAGAACATGGAAACATTAAAACTATGAGGAAACTCAAAAGAAAGAACACAAAAAGCATGAACTCAGCAAAGGGAAGACACACAGAACAAAGAAAGCAGCAACACCACAAAACAAACAAACAAACATAATGGCAGCAATTAATCCATATCTATCAATAATTACACTGAACGTAAACTAATTAAATGCACCGTTTAAGAGACGGAGAGTAGCAGAATGGATAAGAAAACAAGATCCTTCAATATGCTGTCTGTAAGAGACACATCTCACACACAGAGACAAAACCAGATTAAAAGACAAAGGATGGAAAAAATATACCAAGATAATTGCAATAAAAAGCAAATAGGAGTGCCAGTACTAATCTCTGATAAAATAAACTTTAAGGCAAAAACCAGCATAATAAATAAAGATAGACATTATCTCATGATTAAAGAGACAATTGAACAATATGACATAACCATAATAAATATATATGCTCCAATGAAAGAGCTCCAAAATATATAAAGCAAACTCTTATACATTTGAAGAAAGAAATAGATGAATCTACAATATTAGTGGGTGATTTTAATACAACACTTTCAAAAATGGATAGAACAACCAGAAAGAAATTTGACAAAGGCACAGAAGAACTAAACAACACAATCAGCCAACTGAACCTCATAGATGTGTACAGAGCATTCAACCCAACAAC